TTGGTATCTAACTCAAAGGTCCTTGAGCCCTGTTCCCAACCTTAAGGACAGAAATTGGTAGTCATTACTAGCTATCCGGTCAAGAATATCAAAGGCTTCCTCATATGACTTGTCCATCAAAGTTCCATTATTCGAGGCATCTAGCATCATCCTCATGAAAGCATTGACTCAATTGTAAAACATCATGATTTGAGTCCAATAATGAAATTCATGGTTGGTGCACTTGCAAAGCAATCCTTTAGAGTGATCCCAACGTTTATACATTGATTCGTCATCAACTTAGTGTTTATATTCGGTGGATTATACCACAACAAAAAACTTTTGCATAGATCTAACCATGACTCAATCGAGTCGGATGATACTCTACTCAATCAAGCCCTTGCTTAGTCACACAATAAATATGCAAACAACTTGATCTTTAACACATCTTCATGCACTCGTTATTGCCTAAAGGAATCACAAACCTCCAAGAAAACACTGATGTGTTGCCTTGCATCTTCATGAGGTATACCCTCAACCTCCCTATTAAATTCAACATATTGAACATGACTGGTTTGAGCTCAAAGTGGGTTACCTGAATCTCGGGTGCTACAATACTAGGGTTTAAATCGTCCAATATATGAGCTAAGTTGTCTTGAATAACAGCGGCCGAGCAACATTCCCAACATTTGGAATTGCTACGACATTTAGATCTGCAGGATCCTCTGCTTAGTCTCCACCTTAGTTTTACAGTCTATACATGTTTTTTTGAGCACGTTGAGCATGTTTCCTTTGTCTGAAAGATTGTTCTATCTCAGGATCAGTCAATAGTAGGCCTTTAGGATGTCCTCTAGTCATACACTAAAAAAACTTGAAAAGGATAAAGGAAATAACAATTAAAACTATACAAAAATAAATAAGTAAAATAAAAATGCTATAACAAAACCGTTAAACTTCCAGTTGCTAATCCCCAGCAATGACGCCAAAAACTTGTTCGTGATTGTGAGTGCTTATAAATTATACAAAAATATGTGCAAGTATACACAATCAAAAAATAATATAGAGTGAGTGAATATTGTCTCCATAGGGATTGGAGGGAAATACGAATTAAGTTAAAGCACCAATCTAAATTATCTAAGTATAATTAATGTGATGGTATGAACAAATGATAATGTCATGGCAAAGTGAAATATGTGCATATGAGATTTCAATGGTGGTGTGGAATGGAAATGTTATAAAAAATTGAGATGTATGACGTATAACCAATTGAAAATGCTAAGACAAAAACAATTGAGAATCCAAGATTAAAAGAGATAACTAAACAATCCTCACACAAACAAGCTGCAATGAGAATAATTGGTGGGGTCACTAAGGAATCCTAAGCTTTGTTTTCTAGCATGGTCTAAACTTCTATAGCCTACTTGCTCAATAGAGTTTACTAAAAGTGCCCTTATGCTATCTCTAATCAAGGAACTTGATAGATGAAAATGCCACGACAGTACCTCTCGACGTGAACAATAACATAAAACATATCGATTAAGTTCTACTCATTTTTGTAGTTAAAATCCTATCCTTATCTCTAAGGTGGATTAGGTCTTAGTTAGCATCTAAAACCCATTGCTCACATTTATCCTCACCTAGTTTCTCTCGAACACTAAGCATCGAACCACTTAGTTTATCTCAAACACTAAGTAGTCAACTTAAGAATCGACTACTCTCATAGCGCTTACAATCCTAAGTAATTAACTACAATGAGCCAAACAAATAATAACCATAAAAACTTAAACCATTCATTAAAACAAACATTTAATCATCCATAAATAACCCACATCAAATAAGGTTTAATTCATGGTAGAGCTTAAATTATCCAAAAATATCATTCGTTTCATAACAACCCACAAAATATAAAGGAAAAAAAGCACAAAAGTGGAGGAAAAACTCCCAATGCATGCTGCTGTGAGCTCCCCCAGCCACCACTAACCACTTTAGTGACGCTAGCTTCTTTCGTAAACCTAGCTCGTTACTCTTTTGAGCTTGAAAATAGAGGACACCATTAAAAAGATGAAAAGAGGGCGAAAAAGATGGAAGCTTGAAGTTTTCCTCTCACTCTTTCCTCTCACACTATTTCCCAAAAGAATCATCCATTCATTTTGTTGGCCTCATTTTATATTTATACTAAGGGAATATCCTAGGTTATTGTGCTAAAATTCCCTTAGTACCTTAGGTAACATCCTCTCACATGAAAAATGAGTACAAAGGTTAAAGACATTGTTTTTAATGAGGAATTGAATTATAATTCAGTTCATACTATCACTTTTGATAGTGTTCAAGTTTCTATACCTATTAATCAAAAAGAGAATCAAGAACCTCAATAAGATAATGTTGAACAACTCTCTATTCAAGATGAAGTAATTGTTCCAAAAGAATAAACTGAACAACCTCGAGAACAAGTGCCATTAAGGAGATCCACGAGACAAAGAAGAAATGTTATTCCAGATGATTACATTGTATTTCTTCAAGAAAATGAGGATGATAATAGAATGATGGAAGATGATCCAATCAACTTTTATCAGGCCATGAAAAGTACTAACTCTCAAAAGTGGATTGGTGTTATGCAAGAAGAGTATAAGTCCATGCAAGACAATAAAGTTTGGGAACTTATCTCATTACCTAAAGGTATAAAACCAATTGGTTACAAATGAGTATTTAAAACCAAGAAGAATGTAAATAGTAATGTAGAGAGGTATAAGGCAGATCTTGTAGCTAAAGGATATACTCAAAAGGAAGGCATTGTCTTTACATAGACTTTCTCTCCAGTTTCATCGAAAGATTCTTTTAGGACAATCATGGCTTTTTTGCTCATTTTGATCTTAAGTTACATTAGATGGATGTTAAGACTGCGTTTCTAAATGGCAACATTGAAGAAATAATTTATATGGTGCAAACGAAAAACTTTGAGTCGAAAGATCTAAAGGATATAGTTTGTAAATTAACTAAACCCATATATGGACTCAAGCAAACTTCTCATCAATGGTGCCACAAGTTTCATCAAGTAGTTATCTCATTAAATTTTGAGATGAATATGGTTGATGATTATGTATATCACAAGTTCAGTGAGAGTAAGCATATATTTTTGGTTCTATATGTTGATGACATTTAGCTTGCCATAAATGATGTAGGTTTGTTACATGAAACCATGAGATTTTTTTCTAAGCATTTTGAAATGAAAGATCTTGGTGATGTTTTTTCTCTCTTAGGAATCCATATGCATCGAGATCTATCTAAGGGTATTATTGGATTGTCACAAAAAATTACATCGATAAAATACTTAATAGGTTTTACATGCAAAATAGTGAACCAACTAACACCCCTATTGCTAAAGAAAACAAGTCTTGCTCAATGTCCTAAAACTGACCTTGAAATTTAGTAAATGCAAAAGATTCCCTACACTTCAGCTATTGGTAGTCTGATGTATGCTCAAGTATATACGCGTCCGGATATTGCGCATATTGTTGGGATATTAGACAAATACTCAAGCAACCCTAGTATGGATAGCAGCTAAGAGGGTTATGAGGTATCTACGGAGAAAAAAGATTACATGCTCACTTATAGGAGATCAGATCATTTGGAGGTCATCGGGTATTCTGATTCTGATTTCACTGGATGCCAATATAGTAAAAAATTCACTTCATGATTTAAGTACATGCTAATTAAAGGAGCTATACCCTGGAAAAGTGCCAAACAAACACCTGTAGCTTTTTCCACTATGGCAGCAGAGTTTGTAACACGTTATGAGGCATCAAACCATAGAATATGACTACAAAACTTTGTCACTAGGCTACATATTTTGAAGAATGTTGAAAGACCACTTAAACTATATTGTGAGAATAAGTCATCAGTTTTGTATTCCAACAACAATAAAAGCTCATCTAAGTCGAAGCATAATGACATAAAGTTTTTGGTTGTGAAATAGATAGTGCAAAATGAACAAATATCAATTTAACACATTGGAACAGACTTCAAGATAGCAAATCTGCTCACAAAAGATTTAGCACCTAAGGTCTTTCATGAGCACACTGCTCATATGAGTGTTATATCACTTCATGATATCATTATTTGAGTGAGAGTTTTGTTTATTTATGTTAGTTTTCATACATTTATGTATTTGGTTATTTTCTGATCAGAAATAAAGTATTCAATTCATTCACTCTCTTTTATTGTTTGAAGACCGACCTCACTTATGTTTAAAGAGGACAAATTGAAAATAGATATTTGTGGTTCACATTGCATGTAATTTCCATGCTACGCTCCATGATTGATCTATGTCATTTGACTGTGTTTGTATACGTTGACCATTAATAGGTCTAGTCATGATAGATATGTCAAAGGCCTCTTTGATCATATATGAATATAGTTGATGTACGAGATTGTTATAGAATACCTATTACATGATAACAAATTTTTAACTCATAAGGTTATACATTTATCATGAAACATATGTTGTCCAAGTGAGAGATTGTTAGATTAAAATTCATAATTATAGGTATATATTTATAATTTATATTATTATCATAAAATATGAATAAATTAAGTGACCAATTATGTCATAAAGTCATAAGGTATCAGGAACGATTCCGCAAATCTAGTATTTATTTTATTCTTGATGGTTTTACATAATTAGATTCTGGTTTGATTTTCATATTTATTTATGATTCAGTTCTAACTCTGAGTATTTATATCCTAAAATTTCATTGCAAGCATGAACTAAGTGCCATATGTGATAAATAAATTATTGTTATTCTTTGAGATCTGGATTTAAACACAATAAATATTAGTGGTGTGAGCTTTTAATGTTAAAAAATTTAAGAATTATCTTTAAATATATATTCTCTATATTTATCGCAAATTAATATAAAATCCATTGCAAAAATGCAAATTTAATATATTTAATTTTTAACAAAAACAAATAAAATTCTACACCAGAAATAATTCAATAAAACGCCGAGCAACAGCGAAACGAAAAACCAAGATTTACTCCCCACTCATATCTCCGCCACCGTCCCACGCCGGAACTCCCCAGGGCACGTCGCCGCCGCCGGCGATATCTGTGGCACCAAGCATTCAACTCTTTATCTCCTTTCTCTAGATTTTGGTTGTTTGGATTGCATTTGATCACGCAAAAAGGAATAACAAAGACGACGTAGACACGGCGTCTTAGGACCTCTTAGGGTTTAGACTTGATGGCTGGTAGTCGTAAAAAGGGAGGGAAGAAAGCAAAAGTTAAGGACTTACGTTTAGGCGATCTTGTTCTTGCCAAAATCAAGGGTTTCCCTGCTTGGCCTGCGAAGGTCTTCCTTTTTTATCCTCAATTCCTTAATTTTACATTTTGATGATTTTATTTTTATTTCTTACATGCTTATTCGAACTTATGAAATTTGAGTAATTCCATGATGAGTTTTGTGTGCGTGTTTAAGTTTTGCATGATGTTGGAATTCATTTTATGCCTACATTGCCTTACTTTGTAATATATTGTTGGTTTTTATACTCATCTATTTCTTTGGTAAATATTGTTTTACTTTATGGAAGACCAAACTTTGGGATATAATATTGACGCAGACTTATGTTAGCCGATTATAAATCTTTCAGTGTTTCAGGTTTGGGACTTAGCCTATTTCTGAATTGGGTTACTTAATGAAACTATGCAAGTTCTTTATTTTGGGACTGGAAAAAGTAGAACAAATATGTTTTATTGGGTTGTGTGCTAGATTGATTTGAACATAGGAAGTGAATCAGAAATTTATTGAGGGATTTTGATTTATGTTTTAGTTTTTGATATTTTATTAAGTAGGATCGGTTTTGAGGTAGATTCTGTGGGTTATGAATTTCAGATCAGCCGGCCTGAAGATTGGGAGCAAGAACCTGACCCTAAGAAATATTTTGTCCAGTTCTTTGGAACACAAGAAATGTAAGTTTTGCACAATCAATTTGTAAATGTTTAATGAATCAGTAGATCTCGTCTCTCCATTTGTGGCTTTGATTTAGCTTATATGGTTGAAGGTGTTACTTTTCTTTTGTATTATGTTCTTTTGCGTCGTTTTTGATCCTATTGATGGAGGTGTAATTAGATTTAAGGTGATTCGACTTTGGCTTTGGATGAGGATTTAAGAGTTTAAGGTGTTTGTTATAATGGTGTATATCACCATAGGAGATTTTTCCGTGTTGTCTTTTGTATTGGGTATTATTATTAATAAATTATGACGTACTCTTTTCTTCCTTCCAATGTTCGTTAACATACTTCTAAGTATGTGAACGAATACGAAGGGAGTTTTTAATGAGATCTCCAACTTCTATCCAAAAAAAAATAAATCCTAGAAATATTAATTTGTTGCATCCTGAATGATGTGTTACATATGACTATCCAAGCAGACAAACTTTGTAGTGTTTACATTGACAATTGAAGTCGTTTGTTTCTTGTCTGTGCTTACTAGAGGATGCAATGAGATTAACATTGCTTATTCTATCTATTATGGTTTCTGTATATTTTTTTTTCTGTCCATGTAGATCTTCTGATTGAGATTATAGGATGTTTGTTCTAATATGAAGGGCTCAGTGCTTGGTATCCGTTTGTTTCTGTACTGACATCTCTGTCATTTAGTTTTAGATTAGTTGTATAAACTCCCCATTCTAATGTTTGGGAAATATTATGGGCAGATATGATAAGTCATGCTGATTATCTTAGAAATTTATATCATATGGCTCCTCTGTGTGGTAGTTTGAGAATGGTTGAGATGTCCTCTACCTAACTAAGATTTTCATTTTAGGATGCAAAAAATTAAACGTTGATTTTGTTCAAGTTCTTGAAATATTATGGGCAGGTTCTTTTGGCATTGTGGAAAATGTCTTTTCTAATTTTTGTGCTGGTTGTTAGTTAAGCTGCTTATGTTATTTGACAAGGCTTTTTTGGATGTTGTAGTTAGAAATGGGTCAGTTAGGATTGGAGGTCTCTTTTGTTGAAAACCAGAATCCTCTCTTACCGTGTTTTATTACTTATGTATTTGGGATTTTCATACTGCATTTGGGATGTAGAACGGAGTAATGCTGTTCATTTCCAGACAAGAGATGCATGCATGTGTCATTATTTTCCTTTACACTACTCTTTTCACTTATGTTCTATTTGCTCACTAATTACACCCACAAACCTACCCGCATGTTCTATTGTTTTGTAGAGCTTTTGTGCCCCCTGCAGATATTCAGGCATTTACTAGTGAGACAAAGATTAAATTGTCTACCAAGTGTCAAATTAAAACGAAGTACTTTGTCCAAGCTGTGAAGGAAATCTGTGTGGAATATGATGAATTACATGAAGAGAAGAGCAGAGGCTTGAGAGATGAAGCTGATGGATCAAAACCTGGCTGTGAGGCTTCATCTGGTGATGGAGTCAACGTTGATGGTGCGGAGGCCAACTTAAAGAATGGAACAGCTGCTGTTGCACCTGTTGAAGATGCCAGCAGTGAGGGAAAAACTGATCTTGCTTCTAATACGAGGTGCCATTCACGCATAGATGAGAATAATAGTGAAGATAAAAAGCCATCAGTTTTGAGTGATGTGTATTATGGCTCATGCCCAGTTATGTCTTCTGAGGGGAAACATAAAATATCTTATGGTGAACAACCTAAAATGGAGGTATTATCTCCATCATCTTTAGATAAACCTTCTCATATAAAGGTGGAATTTTCTGATGATAAACTTGCTACTGTCAATAGTACTAAGAGAACATTGAGAGAAGATCAGAAATCAAAGAATATGGCTCCTGGGCCAAAGAAAAGAACTGGGAAAGGAGAGAAAAGCAGCAGCTCAGATGTAAAATCATTGAGGGATGATACATCTGAAGGTTGTCTTGATCTGTCTGAGTCTGAGGAGCGATTGAAAGATGGGCGAAAAGTCAAAGTCTCAGGCAGTCGTGCACGAAAATCCTCACAATATACTCTCAAAGCAGATTCTAATTACACTGGTGGTAAGAAGGGAAAGGAATTGCTGAAAACCAAAAGCAACTTCAAGGCCACTGATGATGTACAGGGCACAGTGGCCAATTCTAAACCTGAGACTGCTGGTAAAAAAAGGTGTGAACCTGGACTTGGAAAGCCTAAATTAGGAACAGATGAAACTTTACATCCTGCCAAAAAGTCAAAGTTTGTAGATATGAAAATTGATGCCTCCAAGGGATCTCTTGGCAAAAACAAGAAGAGTAGTTCTTCAATTTCTAACAATGTCAGGGACAAAGAAGTTAAAAAATCAAAGTTGAAAAAATCTATATCTCATGTTGTAGCACCGAGAGCCCCAACGAAAGCTAGTTCTGATGTTTCTGATGATGAAGCTGTGGTGCCCTTATCAAATTGTCCTCAGCAGGCTTTGGAGGCTATGTCTGATTCTGCCTCTCTTAATTCTGATGTTAAAATTGGAATAAACCCTGTTGAACTGAAGAGTGGTACACCAAGTTCCAATGTGAAAAGTTCAGCTACCCGATTGCCAAAAAGGCGGAGAGCTGTTTGTCTTTTTGTTGATGATGAAGAAGAAGATTCTGAGACTCCAGTTCATGGAGGGCTTGCCCACAATGTTAAGGTAACTTTTGTCGGCTCTGATGCTTTACAGAGCATTGATGTAACTCACGCAACTTCTGTCGATGCTGAAGGTAGTGCTGGAAATTCCACACATTATGAGAATAGTGGTCTTGTGGAGGCTTCTTCACAATTATCAAATGATTTTGTGCAACCTCTTCAACCAAAGACTTCCGAAAGGACTTCTATGCATGCCTCCATCACTCCTGAAAGATCAAAAGCAGAGGAGTTTTGTTTCAAGGTGGCTAAACCTGTCTTGATTTCCCCAAGGAAGTCCCCTCATCTAGTGTCTGCCACCAAACAAGTTGAACAAAACAGAACTACTAAAGCTACTGTTAAGGTATCCGGTAACACAACACAGAAAAAGGCTCTATCTGGCTCTGTTAAGGGGCCGGGAGTGGTTTCTGATGCTTTGAAGTCTTCTGAGGATCAGTTTTTGAGTCAAAGGTATATACCACTTTTTTTCTATAGAAAGAATGAAAAGTGAAATCTATTCTGAAAGCAATTTCTGGTGTAAATGATGCTGCTTTTGTTACTGAAACTTTAGGGGAGTATGGCTCTGCATTACCCTTCTTGTTATTGTTATTATTATTATATTTAGTTAATCTTTTTTAGTGTATTTATTAGTTTTTCATTGTATAATGTAGACTAATCTTTTCTTACGTAGATTGGATGTCTTTGGAAAAGATAGGAGCAATTCACTGACTGATGCCAAGACTCCAGATTCTACGATGTCTATGAAGCATCTTATTGCAGCTGCCCAGGCAAAAAGAAGACAAGCGCACTCTCAACAATGTTCTCTTGGAAATCCCAGTTCTGTTTTTGTATCGATGTCTGATGTTCAGGGGGCAATCCCCAGCCCTGCAGTTCAGCCTTTTCCATCTGCAATCGACAATGTAATTCAGGATGATGTGCAGAGATTTGCTCACCAGACAAATCTATTTTCTCCATCAACTCTTGGTCACCAGTCAGTGTCTCATGATCACCAAGATGCTGAAGAGACTGAAGAGAGAAGAGCTAGTTCAGGACACATTGCTATAGGAAACTCTCTTAGTGGTGGCACTGAGGCAGCTGTTGCACGGGATGCTTTTGAAGGAATGATAGAGACTTTATCGAGGACTAAAGAAAGTATAGGACGTGCAACCCGCCTTGCCATTGATTGTGCAAAGTATGGCATAGCAAATGAAGTAAGTTGAATAATATGCTTTATTTATTTTTGATGTGGGTTTAACAATGTAAAGATGATCTTGTTAGACACCAAATTTATATGTTATGATTATTTTGAACAAAATGATAATTATTGATGTGATGTTCATGATTGAAGACAACTTTTTTTGGGAGGAGTTTAAAATACAATATGCGCTGCACAGGTTGTTGAACTTCTCATCAGGAAGCTAGAATGTGAGCCCAGTTTTCATCGTAAGGTTGACCTGTTCTTTCTTGTTGACTCAATCACCCAATGTTCACATAATCAGAAAGGTTGGTTTGCTATCTCTATTAGGAATGTTTTAAGTTACTCTCTAATACTGAATTTATTTGATACAGGAAATTAAGAAAAGAACCTTTAGTTTATCTTTTACTTGCGGGTCTGACATCGATTTTCTTTTTATTTGTTTTGTATTCGTACTAGGTTTCCTCCACTAGACTGTTTCTTGATTCCATGTTTATTTCAAGCACACTGTTTTTTAGTTGCTCTTTAAATTGTGTGTACAAATGCTGAATTAGTCAAATGTGATCAATTAATGCTGCAATTTATGTAAATAGTTGTGGTTAATGTTTATTTAGGAATCGCTGGTGCTTCTTATATCCCTACAGTTCAATCAGCATTGCCCCGTCTCCTTGGTGCAGCTGCTCCACCAGGAGCAAGTGCTCGTGAAAATCGTCGCCAATGTCTCAAGGTATATTTTTGCACTTTAGTTGTAAGAAACTATTCTTCTGTTTCTTCCTCCCCCCCATCTGGAGGATACAGGGATCTATTGTCTGTACCAGGTTTTAAGGTTGTGGCTTGAGAGGAAAATTTTGCCTGAATCTATTCTGCGAGGCTATATGGACAACATTGGAGTTTCGAATGATGATACAATTTCAGGATTTTCCCTAAGGCGCCCGTCTCGAGCTGAGCGTTCTATAGATGATCCTATAAGAGAAATGGAAGGCATGCTCGTTGATGAGTATGGCAGGTCGAAAATTTCTTTCAACCATCTAAACCAAATTATTATAATGATAAATAAATATCTTCTATATTATGATTTAGGTTTGATATTTTATTCAGTTAGGTTACAAATACATCTGAAACCAAACTATGACCAAATTACTACATTGTTTAATTTTTAGACTAAACTATAGCTTTTTGCTTTCTAAATGAAAACTAGCCGTACAAAGTCAGTCAGTTAAATCTGATTTTAAGCTTGATAAAAAAATTCACTCCATTTCTTCAACTTGGCATTGATCTGTAATTTTATTACTATAAACAGCGACATTTTTTGGGTTATCTTGCATGATAACTTTCTCAAGTAACTATTATGAAAACTTCTCAGCTTTTGCTGTAGCATTTGTGCCCCAATTTAGTTTCCTAGGATTTGTCACTCGAGAGGATCATCAATTTTCTGACATCAATTTTGTTGCTTTTTGAGACCAGTAATGCTACATTTCAGCTCCCTGGATTTCTGACTTCTAATGTATTTGAAGATGAAGACGATCTTTCAAGCAGTCCTTGCAGAGAAGCTGCTGATGGATCACCACAGGAAGGAGCTCCTGCTTTAGGAGAGCTAGAAACATGTGCAGTTACCCTAGGTGACAGGCCTCATCACATCTTAGAAGACGTAGATGGCGAACTTGAAATGGAAGATGTTTCTGGGCATATGAAGAATGATCAACCATCCACAAATGATGGTCTTGAAATGGACTGGCAGCAGCATGGGATTACGAAACTGGCTTCAAATAGCTCTAATGAATTCCCTCCTCTACCAGAGGGTTCCCCTCCACCCCCACCTCCTTTACTGCCTTCCCCACCCCCACTTCCAACATCTCCATTACAACTTCCACCTCCACCTCCACAACTACCTGCTCCCGTGCCTCCTTCGAGCCCTCCTCCACCCTTCATACCTCAACCATCTGTGCCGACTCAAACGTCACTGCTATCGCAGCCTATGCTATCACCCCAATCATCAATACAGTCTTCACCACAGTTAGCATATCAAACACCTGTACCTAGCGAATTCCAGGGCACACCAAATGTATAATCCTTAGACATTTTCTTTGCTTGTTACTCAGTATTCTGGTGATATATTTTTTATTAAACCTATGCTTTTGATGAACAGGGTAATCAGATAGTTCAAATGGCCGGAAATACTCCTCATGGCGGCCATATTGATGCTGCCATGAAAAGTGAACTGTTTCCACAGCAATCACCGTGCTTTGTAACAGGTTTGTGCAATTCTAGAGAACCTTCTGGATACATTTCTTCAAGGCAATCGGAAGTTGGACATAATGAAATGTACTTAAATGTTCAATGCTCTCAACCAAGTCAACAGCTTCAACCTGGTAATACAGCCTTTGTGCAAAGGCTTTTACCCCCAAATCTGCCACAAACCTCATCTAGCCATTTCTCATTCGCAAAGCCTTCTATGCTACCACATCCTCAGCATTCATATCCTCAATTCTCCCTGCCGCCACAACATGATGGCCGGGGGCCATTTGTTGCTGATGAACAGTGGAGAATGTCCATAGGAGAATACAATACTGATAATCAACCTGGTGGGTGGGTAGCAGGAAGAAATCCATCACATTGTGGTCCAATGTTTGTCTCGGAAGGTATACACATTGTCCTTCAACTAAATTTTTTTTTGATAGGAAATAGGCCTCATTAAAAAACCCCTTCATATCTTACATGTTATAACAGTAACATGAAGGACATAGGAAGGAGGAAAAGAATACATCTGAATTTTATTACTCTGAATCATATCGTACAACCAACTCCAAAAACCTTCAACTAAGTTTTTGGGTCGACTTATTTTAAATTTACTTAAATGAAATTTGTATTCCATTCCTGCTTGCATGAGTAAAAGGTGGATTTTAGGGGCATTAATTTCAGTTTTGATCTAATTCATATTATTGTTATTGTAGGAATTATAGAGATGATTTGTTACCATTCCTATAGAGATATGATTTGTTTTCATTCCTATAGAGATATGATTTGTTACCATTCTTATAGAGATATGATTTTGTAAATAGATTTCTACAATCCTTTATTTTAAGGGATCATATCCTAGGATTATTATTTTTCCTTTCTTAGAGTTTCCTACTTTAGAGAGATATTTTGTATATAAATATATAATCTGTCATATTGAAAGATATAAGAAATTACAGAGAATTACTCTGATTTCTACATGGTATTAGCTTAGGTTACGGTTTCTTTCCAACCTAGACGATGTCCACAACTTCTTCTCCTACTCCGGAGATCACTTCAAATCCAGAAAATTTTTCTGGTTCTGCTGCTCAATCAGAAGGTAATCTGGTCATGAAAGAACCAGAAGGTAAACCTCATGCTACAGTTTTTTTCTCCTCCCAGCCGTCCCCTAATTGGATCCTCGATTCTGGTGCTACGGATCATATGACTGGTAATAAGGATTTGTTTTGCAATTTTTTTCCAAACTTTGGTAAAGCTGTCAAAACGGCTAATGGTTATTTGTGCAAAATAGAAAGACATGGCACTATTATTCTCAATGACCAGATTGTACTTAAAAATGTCCTCTTCGTACCAAATCTGGCTTGCAATCTCGTTTTCGTTAGTAAACTTTCCACCGACTTGCACTGCTCTGCAATTTTTAATGATATTGATTGTACTTTGCAGGCACTAAACTCGAAGAAGATGATTGGTAAGGCCAGCTTGCAGAATGGTCTCTACATTCTTCCTGCCTCTACTAAAACCGAAATTTCGAAATCTTTCACCGCTTTAAAAAAAGTTGATAATGTTATGTTATGGCACTATTGTTTAGGTCATCCTAGTTTTCACTATCTTGCAAAAGTTTTTCCTGCTCTATTCATTCATAAAAAGTCAAATTCTTTTTCTTGCAAAGTTTGTTCTCTTGCCAAACATACTAAATCAACTTATTCTCCTTTTACATATAAGCCTTCTCACCCTTTTGCTTTAATCCACAGTGATATTTGGGGTCCTTCTCGGGTGAAGAATGCTGATAATTGTAAGTGGTTTATCACTTTCATTGATGATCACAGTAGGATAACTTGGACTTTTGCTAAAAGATAAATCTGAAACTGCTGGTGTTTTTACCCAATTTTATAACATGGTTCTCACTCAATTTGGGTCTAAAATTCAGCTCTTTAAATCTGATAATGGCAGTGAATTTTTTGCTAAGTCTTTGGGTGCGTTTTTCAGGGAAAAGGGCATAGTTCAGATTAGTTCTTGTGTTGACATCCCACAACAAAACGGTATTGCCGAAAGAAAAAATAGACACCTCCTTGAAGTTACTCGTTCTCTTCTATTTACTACTAATGTTCCAAAATATTTGTGGGGGGAAGCCTTATTAACTGCCACATATTTAATCAATCGAATGCCTAATAAGGTTTTACAATTTCAAACACCTCAATCTATATTTTTGCAACACTTTCCCCATTTTAAACCTATCTCCTCTATTCTTCTACTTAAAATATTTGGTTGTACTGTTTTTATCCAAAACATTGCTCCTAATAAGTCCAAGTTAAATCATAAATCATTAAAGTGTGTATTGGTTGGGTATTCTTCACTCAAGAAGGGTTATAAATGCTATCATCCTCCTTTTAAAAGATTTTTCACCACTATGGATATCACTTTTTATGAGCAGGATCCCTATTTCATTCAGGCTGAAATTCAGGGGGAGACATGGAGAGATTTTCAGCTATATCAGGTATCTCCACCCACTTTTCATTCTCAACCTTCAGAATTGTCATCATCCTTGTCTTTACCTATAGATTTGTTACCTGTAACTACTCCCATTGATCCATCGGTAGTTCCTATCACTACTTCACCCATACCCACTTTAAATACCCTTCCTGAAAATAAACCTACTCCCATTCAAAATCTTCCACAAACAACACTAATCAAACAACTCCGTTTCTATACAAGGAAAAGAAAACACATTCCTGAGGCTGTTTTGTAATCTGATTCTTGCCGAGAATTGGATTTGGGTCCAGCTGCCGAAATAGAAGAAGAAATCAGTAAGTCTACTTCCACTACTCTAGATGACTTCCCTATTGCTATTAGAAAAGGGGTTAGACAGTGCACCAAGCATCCTATTGAAAAATTTGCTGGTTATAATTCTCTGATGCCTTCTTTTCAAGCATTTACAACAACCTTGGATAAAGAACAGGTTCCCACAAGCATAACTGAAGCTCTAAAGGATTCTAAATGGAGAAGGGCTGTTGAAGAGGAAATTTCTGCACTAGAGAAAAATGCTACTTGGACTGTTACAGACCTTCCTCAAGGAAAAAAGGTTGTTGGCTGTAAATGGATCTTTGTTGTAAAGTATAACTCTAATGGTAGTATCCAACGATACAAAGCGAGACTAGTGGCCAAAGGTTTTACGCAAACATATGGGATAGATTTCACAGAAACTTTTGCACCTGTGGCGAAGCTGAATACTGTTCGAGTACTCTTACGTTTGGCTGTAAATTGCGATTGGCAATTACACCAACTTGATGTAAAAAACGTTTTTCTTAATGGCCAACTAGAAGAAGAAGTCTATATGAAAATACCACCTGGCTTACAGTCTGCTGAAGGTAGCAATAAGGTTTGCAAGCTCAACAAGTCTCTATACGGGTTAAAACAATCACCCAGAGCTTGGTTCGAGAGGTTCACTAAAGTCATCCTAAAAAACAGCTACAAACAGTCCTTCGTCGATCATACTCTTTTCATCAAGGTAACTTCTACAGATAAGAAAGCTATTCTTATTGTGTACGTGGACGACATAATTCTTACCGGAGATGATGAAGAAGAGATTTGCAAGTTGAAGAAGTTGTTAAATAAGGAATTCGAAACCAAGGACTTGGGAAAGCTAAGGTATTTCCTAGGAATGGAGGTGGCAAGGTCAAAAGGACTTGTGATCAACCAAAGAAAATATGTACTTGATTTACTCAAAGAAACTGGTTTTCTTGGTTGTAAGCCGAATGATACACCAATGGAGGCAAGCTTGAAATTCAACAAAGAAGACGGGTCCTTGGTAGACAAAGAGAAATTTCAAAGATTAGTTGGGAAACTAATTTATTTATCCTTGACAAGGCCAGATATAGCATTTCCTGTAAATGTGATAAGTCAACACATGACCAATCCTACTGAAGAGCATATGGCAGCAGCAAATAGAATTCTCAAGTACTTGAAGAAAACTCCAGGACACGGTTTAATGTTTAAGAAGACACAAGACAGAACTGTTAAGATCTTTACAGATTCTAGTTGGGCCGGAGACCTTATTGAAAGGAGATCCACTAGTAGCTACTGCACCTTTGTTTGGGGAAACCTTACAACTTGGAGAAGTAAGAAACAATCTGTCGTTTCAAGAAGTAGTGCTGAAGCTGAATTCAGAGCACTAGCATTGGGAATATGCGAAGGAATTTATCAACTTAAACTACTGAAAGAACTTGTCACTAATCAAGAGGATCACTTTGAAGTTTTGTGTGATAATCAATCTGCTATTCAAATTGCCAAGAACCCAATTCAACATGATCGGACAAAGCATGTTGAGATTGATAGGCATTTTATTGCTGATCAAGTTAACAAAAAGACAGCCACACTTTCATACATTCCTTCAGAAGAACAAGTTGCAGACATTCTTACTAAGGCTTTGCCGAAGCCTGTTTTCAATAAATTCCTATTCAAGATGAGATTATACAATGTATATTCTCCAGCTTGAGGGGGAGTGTAGGAATTATAGAGATGATTTGTTACCATTCCTATAGAGAGATGATTTGTTACCATTCCTATAGAGATATGATTTGTTTCCATTCCTATAGAGATATGATTTGTTACCATTCTTATAGAGATATGATTTTGTAAATAGATTTCTACAATCCCTTATTTTAAGGGATCATATCCTAGGATTATTATTTTTCCTTTCTTAGAGTTTCCTACTTTAGAGAAATATTTTGTATATAAATATATAATCTGTCATATTGAAAAATATAAGAAATTACAGAGAATTACTCTGATTTCTATAGTTATCTGCAAATAAATATGTCCTTTAAGGTGTTGGCAACCAAACTTTCACCGAGTATAGATGTTGCATGTTGTTGTGCATGCTCTCCAGTAGTAAATGAGAAAAATCTAAAAATGTGGGACCACATCAACCATGTAAATATGAAAGGCATGCTTACATAATATCTGAATACTCTGATAGTATGCACTTAATTTCTTGCTTTGAACTGTTGTTACGGCTAAATTCTTTTTATTTCCTTTCCTGTATGCATCTGACTCAAAAGCCTGTGGTGTTTAGAGTGTAACCCTTACAATCTTCCGTTTCTTGTAAGTTTGAGCTATAGTCTCTACCTTTTGATGACACTGTTAATTCTACAACAGGTTACTTTAGACCACCTGTTGGAAGACCATCCTCAAATAATATGGGCTTCCCCCTCAATTCTACCAAAAATTTACCAGCTGGAGCTCCAAATACAGGTATTGCAATTTTTTATTGCAGTCTTGATTTGCTTGTAATTTTCTTCTTTTTCCAGTTAAAAAACCAATCGCATATTAAGCCAGAAAATGACTTCATTGTTGTATCCTTCAGCTCATGGTGTGTTTCCATGTCAACCAGACATGCCTGCCATTAATTGTTGGAGACCAACTTGAGACTGGGAAAGTAGCGTCATTAGGTACTAAATACACTTTATACTTATTTGTCAATTAATATCAACTGGAATTTTTCATCTTCCCCCCCCCCCCAATTTATTATGAATAGAAAATTTTATCTTCGTCATTGATGTGAAAGTGAAAATTAGTGTTGTGAAATTTGTTGATTTTTCTGGTAAACTACTACTTATTATTACCTAATGTTGAGAGTTTGTGCTTCTTTTTTTGCTAGAATAGAGAGTTTGCAGTTTATATTTTTCATTGGCATTTTCTAATGTAAAAATATGAGGAAGTTTACTCTTCCAGGATAACAGGAAAATGCTATGCTCAATATCTTATATCCTCATCCTTTCCAGTTATTAGTTAATTATTGCTTTCTTTGTTAAATTGATGTTTTTTTTGGTTGGCTGCAAGACAAATTACATGGAAGGGGCTCATTTTTTGGACAAAATAATACCACTACATGAATGCAGTGATGACAACTTCTGGGACTCTTGGCCGGATTGTGCATATTATAATTTTTCCTGACAATTGTATCCCAGGAACATCCTACACATTTCTTCCTCGGTTAGTAAGCATAAAGTTAAAAAAATATTTCTTGTTAAAATTTTGAACTCAGATCAACTTATATAAACAGAGTGTTATTTATGGTGTTGATTGCATGTGATGTTACTTTCCCTTTATTTTGGAACCTTGTTCAAATCAATACTTATTGTACAAACAGTTGAGCTGCATGTTTAGTTTCTTGTGACTTGTCATCTGTATGAACCAGAGTTGTAACAAGGGAATTATTGTAGCATGCAGTACGGACCACCCTATGTGTTGGAACTCGGGAAAATGCAATCAAGGATTTGCTATGAGTATTAATTATATTTCCATATGAGAATTCAATTTCCCTGGAGTTTCTTTTTTCTGTTTAAAGCCTTAATCTCTTTGAGTGACACTAATTATCCTCTTATCTTCATTGTTCTCTTTGGTTTTTCCTGGACGATCCGTTCCAGGCTTAGAGGGCTTATTGCAAGTGGACTATTGAATTGTAATGACACTCTCTAAATCCCCTGCCCCTGCCCCTACCCATACCCCGATAAAATCCAATGTAGTATCTTGAGCACTTATCGTGAAGTCTTAGCCATGTTAACTGCAATGTTTTAACATGGATATCCTAATGTAATAACTGGCTAAAGAAACTCAATTATTTTGTATGCTTTAATGGCGATTTGACTCTAATAAAACCTTGAGTGTAAGAATTTACATATGGTGGTCAATTCTACTCCTTTTAGCCTTTGTGACGTATGCTTGATCATCAATGAAGAACTATTACATTTTCTTTTCTTGTTTTCAAGCTCTTTTGTTATTTTTCTATTCGGTATGGTTGTAGATGATTTTTGATAAACTAGCTGGCATGCATTTATCTTGATCCTTTCACTGTTAAAAAAAACGTATCGACTGCACTTGAAAAATAGTTTTTGGTTTCCTGGTTAGTCTATGAACCTTAAAATGGATTGAACTGAACTCATGTCTTAACTTCATTTTGCTAGTAAAAAGAAAAGGGAAATAGGAGAAGCCAGTTATGCAACTGGCTTTCAATTCATACTTGCTAGTTGGTGAAAGAGAATTCAATCTATGATGAGGACATTTCATTTGTTTCAGGTTTTGGCAAATTGTTGGACCTGAAATGTCTATTTATGTTGTTGCAACTTGGATATACACCATTGTTGTCAGGTGCGAAGCAGAGTAACTACTGCAACATGTTGAGGTAAATATTTTACATGGATTGTTGAGCCATGGCAATGCTTGGATTTTTTTTTCTAACTAGTTAGATAGGAATAGTTGTTACAAGGATGTTTTTTGTCAAAGTGTAGGCAGTTAGAAATTACTTGAAATTTTTTGTTAAAACCTCCACGTTTATAAAGGAATCATGTAGGATTCTGTATATTACAAATACATGAGTTTCTTTTTTCCTTTATATCCATTTTCTTTTAGCTTAGTTATCTACTTAAATTCCCAATGTTGAACTGGTATTTTTAATGAGGTAGGTGATGTATATTGTTTCGGAACCCTAGCCATTTGCTCCTAATAATCTGTTTGATCTATCTTAACCTGAAAGTTGTGGCATAAATTACTATTAGGTGTTTAAATGATAGTTGGATTATTTATCCTACCAGTAGTCTGGGGTTTGGGAGAATGAGTGGTCCATTGTTGTGTTATTGTGATCCATCGGAGTTGGTGCACATTTTTCCTGTTATTGTCCACAGCTGTAAGCGCAAAGGTTTATTTCGAGTGTCCAACCTAAATAAATTGCAATGATAGTGGTAAGGCACTTACTCTATTAAATGATACATCTTATTTAAATATTTTCAATTTCTTAATTAATTAAAATAATTTAAAAATTAATTATGTTTACTGTTAATTATTTATTGGTACGAATAAAATTGGATTGTTTTTTTTAATAAAAATTGGTACTTTTATTAAAAAAATATTAGGAATTACAATGAAAGTTTATAATTATAATCTTAATTTAAAAATATAATTAGGACATCTTTCTATTACTTGAGATCGTTGAAGAAAATATTAGAAACTCAATCAAAAACTTGAAATAAAGATAGGTAAAAGTATATTTTATTGTATTGATAAATGAATCATATAAGAAAATTAAACTATTGAAAGAGCATTGAAAAATTGTAAATCAAAATGAGTGATGTGAGGAAACTATTCACGGATGTGAACAACGCATTGAAATTCAATTTGATGGTCAAAATCATGGAAGATCAATATAATATCTTTTTGATCAGTCGAGTCGATGTCAAATTTAACATTGAGAAAAAATATATAATATTTTCTATTTTTGGTTTAAAAGTGTTTTTAAAATCAAGATGGTATCATTAAGTGATACTAAATTGAAAAGATTTTTTTTTTTTTACAATTTGAAAAGATTACTTTAAAAATACACGTAAAAGACATTTTTTTAAAATATTTTTTTTGTAAAAATAAAATGACCAACTGATTATACTTTTGCTTGGTAGAAAGTAGTGGGGGTAACATAGAAACAAATGACTATGAGGTGTGTCAAGGTTGACCATTCATATATTACTCTAGCCATTGGGGTTCCAAGAATTGCTTCAAAATTGAAACATTCAAGTTATAATAGACTTGTTAGTGCAATCTGCAGCAAAACTCAATTCATTCATGTGCTTGTAAGGATTTACATAAGGGGACTTGCTAGCATGAAGGGAACAGAGAACTATAAAATCTAGTACTTATTGTGGAACATTTTCAAAATGCATCCGTCATTGTTTAGGACTTATTAATAATTTGGGTTTGGTTAATTTTGTGTGGGGCTTGATAGGAACTTACTTTCTGGTTCTCAATTTTGTAATGCTGAACTTTGTTTCATGATTTGTATAATTGGTTGCTCGACTTTCTAGACGGTAATAATTTTGAAAACTTAAATTTAATGATGATTTTGAAAAAAAAATATTTGAAAAATCAAAATGATGTTGCGGAAGACGGCTATCAGATAGAGTAAAATCGCAACTGATAATTTGAGAAAATAAAAATGAAGATAAAAGAGACACAAAATTTACATGGAAAACCCCTAAAATTTAGGGTAAAAACCACGGACAACAGTAGAAGAATTTCACTATGAGAAAATAGGAATTACAACCTCTCTCGATCTACCAATGAGAAAATAATGATAATTCTCTCTAGATAAAAAGGAGAAAACAACTCTTAAGAATCTCTCTAAAATCTCTCTAGTATTGGAAGAAAGCTAGAATGCTTTGGGATGGTTTTGAAGCTAAATGAGCTAGGGTATTTATAGTTGAAGCTTAAGGACTAATTTGTAAATACCCTAAATTTTAGTGATTAGAGTTTGTAATTTGCCCATATAAAAAATCAACATTTTCTACACCTAATTTTCGGTGCCTACAATTGTTGACAAAATTTTTTTTTTTCAAACCATGCATTTTCGGTGCATTGATTTTCAACAATCTCCCACTTGAAGATTTGATTGGAACAATCATATATTCACACCATTCTTTCTACCTTGTACCTTCATGTTGCTTACGTTTCTGACAGACCACAGGAGGATCGACACCAGGTAAATTTATCAGCATTGATTGCCTTCGTCATGAAATCTGCTATGTTGTCTTTGGTATGGATCTTCTGCATATCTACCGTTCCTTCTTCCACCTTTTCACGAATGAAATGGTACTGAACTCGTATGTGCTTAGTCCTTGAATGAAATGCTGGATTCATTGCTAGATGCAAGGCGCTTTGACTGTCACAAAACAGAGAGACATACTCTTGATTGTGCCCAAGCTCCTCCAATAGCATCTTCAACCAAATTGCTTCTTTACTGGCTTGTGTAGCTACTACATATTATGCCTCTGTTGTGGACGTAGCCATAACTGACTGCAATTTTGAAACCCAGCTTACAGCTCCACCAACAACTTTGAACACATATCCTGTAGTAGATTTGCTTTTATCCAAATCCCCTACATAGTCAGAATCTACATACCCATTGATTAGTAAGTTTGATCCTCCGTAACATAATGCAACATTTGAGGTCCCTTTGATGTATCTTAGGATCCTCTTTACAATATTCCAATTCTCTTTGCCTGGATTCGCCATGTACCGATTAACCACTCCCACTGCTTGTGCAATGTCTGGTCTTGTGCATATCATAATGAACATTAAACTTCCCACTGTTGATGCATACGGTACTCGAGACATCTCCATCCTCTCTTCTTCACTGCTAGGACTCATACTGGAGGATAATTTGAAGTTAATAGGAAGACGGGTAGAAATTGGCTTACAATCTTGCATGCTAAATCGTGACAAGATTTTCTTCAAGTAATTCTTTTGTGAAAGCCAAATCTTCCTATTACTTCTGTCTCGGTGAATTTGCATCCCTAGAATCTTGTTTGTTGATCCCAAGTCCTTCATTTCAAATTCCCTAGCCAGTTGTGCCTTCAATTCTTCAATATGATCTTTGTTGGGTCCTGCAACCAACATGTCATCCACATACAACAGCAATATAACAAAATCGTTATCACCAGACCTCTTGAAATAAGCACAAGGGTCTGCAATAAGTCTGTTGCATCCAAGGCACATAATAAAGGAATCAAATCTCTTATACCAACACCTCGGTGCCTGCTTTAGACCGTACAGAGATTTGTTCAACTTGCAAACCAAGTTCTTCTTTTCGTCTTCTTCAAAACCTTCACGCTGGAGCATATAAATCTCTTCTTCAAGATTTCCATGAAGAAAAGCTGTTTTAACATCTAGCTGTTCCAGATGTAAATTCAATGTAGCACACATTGCCAAGACTACTCGAACTGTTGTTAGTCGAACCACAGGAGAAAAAATTTCATTGAAATCAATACCTTCTCTCTGAGCATATCCTTTGACCACCAGTCTTGCACGATACCTCTCCACTTGATCGTCACCATTTCGCTTGATTTTGAAAACCCATTTGTTACCAATTGGCTTCCTTCCTTGTGGTAGTGGCACAAGGTCTCATGTATTATTTTTATGAAGGGCTTCGATTTCTTCTTGCATCGCCATCATCCACAGTGAAGCATCTGAGCTGTTTATTGCCTCCTGATATGTTGATGGCTCACCGTCCTCTATTAAAAGACAGTATGCAACATTTCCTTTTATAACATAATCTGAGTGCCAATTAGGACGTCTTCTCACACGATCTGATTGACGAGTTGTTGGAGCTTCAGAACTCTCTGGTTCTTGTTCATCATGTGCTGGTTCTGCTTCAGAAGAATCTCCTTGTTCAAACTCCTTTTCTACATGTATCTGTGTAGTCTCTGACTTTTCAGCGCTGTCATTGTCTTCTTTTCTTTGTAGCTTATCTTCTACAAAGATAACATCCCTACTAATGATCACTTTGCGGGCAGTGGGATCCCACAAACGATACCCCTTTACTCCATCAGCATACCCCAAGAATTTGCATTTTCTGGATTTTGGATTCATCTTTGAAATTTCTTTGGCGTTGTACATCACGTACACAATACTTCCAAATACATGGAGGTTTGAATAATCAACTGGTTTACCAGTCCACATCTCCATTGGTGTCTTCAGCTCTATTGCAGTTGATGGAGCTCGATTCACCAAATAACAGGTGGTATTAACTGCTTCTGCCCAGAATGATTTTTCTAGGCCTGCGTCCCTCAACATTGCTCTTGTTCTTTCTAACAAAGTTCTGTTCATCCGCTCTACCACTCCATTTTGTTGAGGATTGTTCGCCACTGTGAACTGTCTTTTGATGCCTTATTTCCTGCAAAAGTCATCAAATTCTTCGCTTGTGTATTCTCCTCCATTATCTGTTCTGAAACACTTGATCTTATTTCCATAATCAAGTTCCACCCGCGCTTTGAAGTTTTTGAAAGTTGAAAACACGTCTGACTTCTTCTTAATATGGTGCACCCAACATCTCCTGGAGTAGTCATCAATAAATGAGACAAAGTATTTTGCTCCACCTAGGGACGTTACTGGTGCTTGCCATACGTTAGAGTGAACCAATTCTAGAACACTTTTGCCTCTAGAATTTGATGTGTTGAATTTCAACCGGTGCTGCTTACTTGTTATGCAATGCTCACACAAAGGAAGTGATACCTTTGTTAAGCCTGGAAGTAGCTTTTGCTCCACAAGGACTTTCATTCCTTGTTCTGACATGTGTCCAAGTTTCTTATGCCATAGCATTGCAGAATCTGAACTACATGAGGCAACAGAGGCTTCTGCTTCTAGCAATGTCTCTCCCTTCAGCATGTACAAGTTTGCAGCTATCTTTTCACCTTTCAGCACCACAAGCGCTCCACGGAACACCTTCATGATTCCTTTCCGTGTTTCAATCTTGCTAGCATTATTATCCAACAATCCGTAGGATAATAAATTTTTCTTCAGACCTTTCACGTGCCGCACATCTCGAACAACTTTAATTGTTCCATC